TGTGTGTGTGTGTGTGTGTGTGTGTGTGTGACCCTGGACCTAAAAAACAGCCTTAAGTAGCACGGGTATATTTGTAGCAATAGCCATTGTATGGGTCAAAATTATTGATTTTTCTTTCATGCCAAAAATCATTAGGATATTAAGTAAAGATCATGTTCCATGAAGATATTTTGTAAATTTCCTACCGTAAATATATCAAATCTTAATTTTTGATTAGTAATATGCAATGCTAAGAACTTCATTTTGTGCACCCTCAAATTCTACATTTTCAAATATTTGTATCTCAGCCAAATATTGTCCTATCCTAACAAACCATAAAACAATGCAAAATTTATTTATTCAGAAATTGAAAAAGAAAATTGATCCTTATGACGGGTTTTGTGGTGCGTGTATATATACGGGATGGAAATGAGAAAGATAGTCAATCTGTAAACAACGCTTTTGTTATATACCTTTATAGAAGATGTTATTGCCTCTGAATGTGAAGAAGTGACCGGAAGAGTGCCAGGTGTTGAGCGCAGGTGAGAGCTGTGGCGGAGGGATATGCAGATACACGGCGAGCAGAGGAATGCACAACAGACCCACGTGAAGCCACCACTCCCTGCTGACACGACGGGCATATCCGCACTCACTTTCATTCTGCAGCAGACAAGGTAGGTTTAAATTGTATTGTAATAACATAGTAAATTGGTATTTTCATTGCTGGAGAGAGAGAGGTAGAGAAGAGCGCTTGTCAAAGGAAGTACAACATCATAACGCGAATTAAACTGGCAGGGCAGCCTTGCTATGATAGTAAAATTCAAACTGTAAGCAAAATAACAACTGCCATATAATGCGTGCTGGTCAAGAGAAACGCACTTAATGCGTAAAGTTACTTACAGGTGAGTCGTCGGACATTCTCGGTTCCTGCGCTTTATCACAGCGTGTGTCGGTTGTTTTCGCGGATGGGCTGAAATATGTGCTGTTGAGTGACATTAAGAGTCTGTCACTGAGCTGTCATCTGCACAATCCGTACTTGCATGGCCTTAAAACGTTCTGTTGCGACTGTTATCGAGCGTCGTGTTGCCAAGGATCCAAAGGTCTAGGGCTTAAAGTAATGCTCGCTTACGCCCCTAGTGGAGCGGATGGTAAACAGCAATAATATCTACCAGAGGAACCGTGTTTGTTTGACCGCTGCATCCAAAACGTCTAGCTTGCTGAAACATTCGTATACTCAAGCGAAAGTCCATATATATTCATTTAAATGTAGGGCAAGTGAAAAAAAACCCTTTTTGGTCAGTAAGTTTATCACAGTAAGTTACGTGAAACGCCAAACTCGATCTGGACAGTGGCATGTGTGAGAGGACATAAATTTCACTTTTTAGAGTTTTTTAATATCAAGCTATTATTTTTAATATAAATTATTCTTATTCTTATTAATTAATTTATTTTAGCCGAGCAGATCAACATGGAATCTACCAGGGGGCGGTTTCATAAAACAACAACAAGCCAGGCTTATTTCAGCTATTCTGACTAATTTAGTCATACTAACTGAAAAAAAAAACCCTGGCTTATTTGATAAACTTGTTTTATGAAACAGGCCCCAGGTCTACTTGAGATCACAGTTCTCAGCTAATGGGGGCAATACAATATAATACCTGATGTGTTGTCATAAACACAAATAGTATGGGACAAAACTCTTCCAAAACTCTTTGAATGGTTTGTTTATGAG